ATTGCTGTTATTGTTGGCGGATGGACTTTTTCTGCTGTTAGCTAAGAAGCAAAAATGAGAAAGCTATATATTAGATACAGAATGTAGATACACTCATAAATGCATAAATACTGGGGGACAAGATTTTGAGAGTTGCTGGGAAAGAAAAAAAGACGATTAACGGGACGGCACGAAGTACGCTGGTGGTAGCAATGGTAATGATGATGGTGATGTTAGCGATGATGATGATGGTGATGATGAGGAGGACGATGACGACAACGACGACGGCGACACCGGCGACGAAGCTAATAACAACAAAACAACAAAAGTGACGACAAGAATTGTGTGTCTTCGCGCTCAACGTCTTTCTGCTGTCAAAAGAAGGCCAAAAAAAAGTCTTTGCGTCGTCGAGACGGTCACAATAATCACATATCGATGGTGGCAATCTGTATCAAATAAACAATTAGCTATCTCGAGGTGTCCGCTGTAGCAGTTTTGCGTGAGCCTTCTGCTGAAAATTTAGTTTCGTTTGCTCAGCGACATCATCGTGCATTTTGCTTACGGATCCTGAATTGATTCGTTGTTTCTATGGATGGAATCGACTATTAATGTTTTTGTGTGCTTGTCTGTTTGTATGAGTGTATGAATGTATATTTGCGCCTGTGTATTGTGTAACTAAATCTGATTCAATGGGTACACGCATGTGTGGTTTATATTGCCCCTGAACTATAAGGGCCACAGGAGCAACAGCGACAACGACGACAACGAAATTATTATTATTACTGGCTACTGTTTAGCCAGTTAAAGAAAAAAATATTAAACAGGAAGGAACAACTTTTTTATTTTAAATTCTAACACGAAAGATAACGAAACCTTCTGATTTGTTGGCTTTCACGATTGTTTGCATTGCCGCCAACAGGAATAAAAAACCAAAAAAGAAAAAAGAAATAGAAGAAAGTATGCTGATCGTCATCATCATCACTACCATCACTAAATGACATTATCTGGTTTAATTTTGGTTTGAATTCTTGATTTGGATCTATCGATGTGCCATGTGCTAATACATTCTGTCTGCGATGATTCGGTGCCTGTTATACGGTCGCATAGTTGCGACGACTACGTTTATTTGATTGTATATTGAATCTTACTTTAACATATATTTTCTCTTGGCAGTATTCGGGAACAAGAAAAGAGAAAAGAAAAAAGAAGTCAGCAATAAAAGACATTTTTTAAAAAGGCTATTTTTTCTTTATGAAAAAAGAGTTGGGCACTTAGTTTGAAGTAAATTTTTATCAGTATAAACTATCTTTACCACTGACTTCTGGAGTTGTAATTTTAATTTGTATTTATACTTTTGCTCATACGTTAAAATTCTACTGTTTGTTTCACCTTCATCTTCATCGTATCTCTTGTTTTCATTCTTTATCTGCAATTTTTCAATCTACCATTTGCTGTTTTTCTTCTGCTTCTTCTATCTTCAGTCCTGTCTATTAAAGAAAAAAAAAAGAAAAAAATAACAATTAGAAAAAAAGTAATTTCATTCAAGGGAAAAAAAAAACGATATATTTTTGTTGTTTCTTTTCAACTGTTTCCTAAATGAAAATTTACCAGCTGTAAATATTGAAACCTTTGATCTTTATCTGAAATGTTATCAAATTTTGGGCCCGAACAGAACTGTTTGTCGCGTTCGGGTTTGGTATACGGTGCAAGCTTCAGTCGTGCTGCAGCTGCATTCGGTGGCATTTATTCATCTGTCGACTTGGATACCGCAGACGTATGGTATTCGATGGAGAAATTTCAACTGGTTTGTTTTTATTGTTGCACTTCAGATATTCTTTTTTTCTCCTGTAGTTTATACCAAAATTTCCTATTTTTTTTTTTGTTGTTACTTTTGTTGTAAACAAGTAAATGCTACATTTGAGCGATAATTTATATTTGTTGATAGCGTTAATAATCATTTAGTAATGGAAACTGATTGTTTAAGAATTGATGATAACAATTAAGATGAAAATCTATGTTTTAACCTACCAAAATCAATTGTAACAGTTGTTAAAATATTTATTCAATTTTATACTTAATGCCTTTTTTTTTCTTTTTTTTTTTTTTTTTTTTTTT